CAGGTGTGGGAGTGGACCAATAGGAGCGCGTGGGCAAGTGTGAGAGAGGGAGCAACAACCCAGAAGACAGAAATCTTCAGTGATATTCCTCATTGTGTGATATTTTCCATCATCGTCTTTTCGTGTATTTGTGGTCAGCACCTGAGAGAATGGCGATGTTTTGCCCTGATCCTCCTCTGTCTTCCTTAGACTGGACTTTGTTCCTTACCCCAAGTACAAACTCTTTGTTCCCCTCGCAAAAACTAATGTAAAATGAAAAGGTAAAGTTGTCCGTTTTGCTTAATTAAGCACCACGTTACATGAACTGTCATATATAGTTGGGGGTTTTACGTGTTTAAGAATTATTTCGCTGGGCCCTTGCACGTGTGCGGAACATATTAATTCTGACAGCTTCTCGGTAATCTGTTTTTATATCAGAATAATATTTCACCTGAAATTTAATTAAAGGTACGAGGACTGCTTGATATGTACGTTACCAGATACATTCATGTTATTGGTATAATTGAAGAGAACCTCTTCATATCATATAAACGTTAAATATTTATATAAAATTCTGTTTGGTTTTCCATGTTTGTATGTTATTGACTACGTTGTCCCCATTTCATGTTACAGTAATGTATAAACTTCCTAGATAATTAATGTTCTCTCTCCATGTATAATAACTAATGCCTTTCTCTACGTAAATCAACACAGTTCTTTTCTGCTTTTAATCTCACATTCCTTCTTTCCTTTCAGGTAAAAGAACTGTTTTATTTTTTTAAAAAAATTAAGAGAGCGTGATATATTTATTGACTTCAAAATCAGTTAACGAATTTAAAATTACGATGATCTTTAGTTTGTAAAATTATTTATCGGTCAAATATAACACATTTTACTCAAACCTAAGTTTATCGCAGTTATGGAAAACATTTTATCGTAAAAAAAATATTTTCACTTGATGTAAAACACTCACATGTATCTCATGTGGGTCTTTAAACATTGTATTTTTTTTTTGTAAAATGGATGTTATATCTTTTTTACAAAGTGGATAGAAACAGTTTTCTCATTCACTGTAATACGTGCCTTCTGCTGTTATCTTTAAGAACACCAATACATTTACTTTTGCACTATGTATATACGTATATATATATATATATATACCCTAATTTTAATAGGTGTTATGAATGTAAACAGTTTTTACATGCAAACTAAAATAACACAACTGTAACAGAACATCACACGCAACAGAAGTTTGGGAAAGTTGATATAAAATATTCATTACGATTCCAAATTAAATTATTAACAAGTTCGGAATGGTCAATAACTAACTTTCAACGAGACCATTTGGAAGAAAAGAGATATGTTTAACAACGGACTGGAAAATATTGCATACAGATGAGTTTCGTAATGATTACGCAGAGATTAAATCAAGGAGGAACGAACAGGAAGGAACATGGAAAAATTTTAGATGCTTACAAAAAAAATTTATCCGGAATCCCAAGTGAAAGAGCACGCGAGAAACATAGGCGTAGATGAGAGGATACTATTAAAATGAATCTCAGATATTTAAAGTGTAAACTAACTTCAACTGATTTTTTTCTCTCGTGTCATTAACCACGTAATTTCATTCTACTTTGCTTATTCTTTTAACTCTGCTGATTATTTTAAGTTAAAACGTCACAGCGCTTCGAAGGATAGATCTTCCTTTGTCTTCAGGTATGTAACAAGACGTCTACTGAGTTAGATCCGATAGACCGAGCTCGTCCTCCCACGCCACCAATCGTCAAAGACATTCCAGAGAAGAACTGAATTTCTTCTCCCTTTAAGGCGTCACATGTTTGATCTTTGCCTTTTGTTTGAAGGTGTCGTGGGTTCGACACCGAGACATCCACCTTCTGACTGTCGGGCGATACACGTACACGAGCGACCAGCGTTTCCAGTCCATCCACTCGCCACAGACAGAAGACTGGATGCTGCAGATTCGCTACCCACAGAGGAGAGATTCTGGCTTCTACGAGTGTCAAGTGAGCACCACACCACCTGTCGGCTACTCCATGTACCTCTCTGTGGTGGGTAAGTACAGGCACGTGACTTCTAACGTTTTATACTTTGATGCGCCCAAAGCAGATACACGCAGTAAAGTCAGGACGTTTCCAGACTCCCTCGTGCATAAATTGCTTTGTATTTAAATTAAGTTGACTAGACGCAGTGAATTTAAAGGGAACTGAAAACAGTTAGGGGTGGTTGAAACTGTACTGTCACATGTTAACATTCAGTAAATGAATAGGAATATGTATTCTGAAGACGGCGAGTCTGGTAGAAGTGTACGGACATTTTAGAGGTACTTGCTGCCTCCACCATCGCTCATGGTGGTAGCAAGGACTTCTGAAATGTTGGTTAAACTTCAGACTCTACGGCGCTAAAACCCAGAAGACAGCCATCTTTTGTTTAGGAACTGGTGTTTGCCACAAGCTTCCGTTTGTTTGTTAGCGTAATAAGCGATTTATTCCTCGAACTTAACTAATAAACTGATTTTGTAACGGAGATTCGCAGTGCCTGCCTCGAGCTAGACACCGATATTTCACACGTTATTTCAATATAGCTTCAGTTTCATGAAGCCAATTTGTTCGCTTCTTCTCGGCAAAATTACTTGCCCGGGAGTTGGTGAATAGCAAGTCATTTCGCTCGTGTAATTAAACTGGGCTCTTTTAACGACCTGATGATTTTGTCAATGGTCTGCTGGTGTTTTGTTCTGTGCTCCTCTTATTCAGTAGGAACTTTAAGACTTGGAGTTGTCAAAGGGAAAAATATTTTGCTCTGTAACATTTTTATTTATAAGTACTTTTTTATTCACATCCCACTAAAAAGGTTAATTTTATAAAAAAAATGCATCGAGTTATTTCTATTATGCTTTGCTATCTTGAATGCACTAAAACAGTAAATATATATATATATATATATATACTCTCCTACTTGAGCTTGGGTAGGGTAATTTAGGGATATCTCGACACCTTAAGAAAAAACTCTAGGCTTCAGGAATATTTTTTGAAAATTAAAAACAGAAATTTTCATATATTATCCATGGAGGTATGTTTTATTTGTAATACATTAATAAAGCAGGTAAGTTTAAGGGAAACAGTGCAATTAACAAAAACAAAGAAATGGAATAAAAATGTCGACTTCTCCCTGTGTTTGGGGAGATTTCGACATGTGCATGGGAAATATTAGGAGACTGTAACTACAGAACAGAAACAATTTGGATTCATAAAATAATGTCAATAAACAGTAAATATGCAAAATTAAAAACAGGCGTTACATGTGAACTGGTTATCTGCTCCATTTTCCACGCAAGTTTCATGAAACCATCTTTCACTGCCGCAGCCATGTTTTCAGGCTTCCACTGTCCAAGCTTTCCTTGGTAGTGGTACATTCGAGGCATTTTTCTTACCTGTGAAGTAAAGTGAACACCGTATCATAAGGTTCATAACCAGAAAAAGATATATTAGGGAGAATTCGACAATACAAATGTCACCACTGGTCACAGTTGAAGTTTTTGTCAGTTCACATAGCATGGCTGTCCTTTAGAAAGTGCGAGTTGTCACCACAATAACTATTAATCCATAAATGCCATGTGCATCCAGTGTAATTATCATTATCTGGAATGTAATTATTATAGCATGTGCTATTTAGGGTATGTAAAACTCACCTGGTCGTCTTTGAGGGTTCCGTACGAGGTTGAGACTTGCAAAAACAGACTCCTTTGAAGTTGCACGTTGATCGCAGTATGGTAGGCTATCTTCTGTACAATTACAGTCTTTGCCACTACAGTGCAGCTGTCGCTAGAGTGAAATTTGTTAAAAGTGTCGAGATCTCCCAGATGTCGAGATCTCCCTAAATTACTATATTGCAGTTCATTGAAGGAGAACTCGACATGTCGAAACCTCCCTGACTTACACGATTACAATACAAATGTCACCACTGGTCACAGTTGTAGTTTTTGTCAGTTCACATAGCATGGCTGTCCTTTAGAAAGTGCGAGTTGTCACCACAATAACTATTAATCCATAAATGCCATGTGCATCCAGTGTAATTATCATTATCTGGAATGTAATTATTATAGCATGTGCTATTTAGGGTATGTAAAACTCACCTGGTCGTCTTTGAGGGTTCCGTACGAGGTTGAGACTTGCAAAAACAGACTCCTTTGAAGTTGCACGTTGATCGCAGTATGGTAGGCTATCTTCTGTACAATTACAGTCTTTGCCACTACAGTGAGTGCATCTGTCGCTAGAGTGAAATTTTGTTAAAAGTGTCGAGATCTCCCTAAATTACTATATACTACGTCTGAGTAAATTTTCGAGGGAGTGAAGTTATAAGTTTAAAATTTTTAACTTCGCTAACGATCGAGTAGGCGAAGAAAATAGCGATTTCATTCGCCCGTCTAATTAAATTAAATTATTTTATACCCTCCGAGTGACTTTTCCGGCGACTAGCGAATAAAGTCGCGTATGAAATTGAGGCTTAAAAGTCTGTTTGTTCACATTTACCTAGAGAAACTAAGAGGCGCCTTCATCTACGTCTCTAGGTCGAGATTAGATTACAAAGGCGTTCACGTTAACTAAACTATTCTCTCCCAGAGGTCATTTTAACATTTATTTTCCTCGATGTTTAATACACGTATTTTCTTCCGGATTTCCTTAGCCCCTTGAAGACAGACACTGAAATAAGAATGACCATAAATTATATGTCGTTGTTGAAAGCACACAACGGATTTTCATCAAACATGTTACAAATTTAATCCTTCGTAAACCACTACTCAAACTTCCTCATATCAGTAATGTCATCATGGCGGCCATGACGTAGAACTGGTGGTGCATGAATCATTTGGTGCTGGTCCGTGCTCGTATAATGGAAATCAATTTGGACATGTGACTAAGGAGAAAAAGAACATATATTGGACCACAGTTTTATTTGTTCGCGTCTGTTATCAAATGAAACATAACAAAACACTTTCATACAAACTAAACTTAATAATGTATGAGATGATAAAGTTGCGTCATATTGTGATAAATATATATTTGTTTAAATCTTGTCAGTCTAATCACAATAAAATTCCTATTAAATATTAAAATATTATAATTAACATTTAAATATTTAAAATATATTAAATGATATTCTCCATCGAAATGTTCGATTTACAAGTGATGTTCTAATTTAAATCGAACATTTCGATAGAGAATATCATTTAATATATTTTAAATATTTAAATGTTAATTATGATAATATTTTAATATTTAATAGGAATTTTATTGTGATTAGACTGATAAGATTTAAACAAATATTAATAATGTATGTTTAGATAGAGGAATATTCCTCCACGCCGAATATGATTTATTTAACTTTAATTATTATTCTGGAATTATTTGGAGAACAGTAGAAATTTTTCCAAAAAAAAGTTTGTCACAAAATATTTATGAATGTTAATATGGATCTTAATTAATTATAAGAAGTTCCAGAACATATAATTTTAATGGATATAAATATCTTAAATTCGTATTTACATGACTGGCTGAATGAAATATTCTTCAGTTATTTAGACATCTTCCTCAGGAGTCATGGACTGTCGTAGCTCAGAATGTCCTCTCTCGCGACCCTCCTCTCCTCTCCACTCCCCGCGCCACAAAATAGCTTCTCTACCGGGGAAATTTTTCATTAACGGCGTATCACAATAAGGCGTCTTCTTGTCCGCTTTCTTTGACATCGTGAACATTGGATTAAAAACACAGAGAATGGCGTGTCATAACATCAATATATTATATTCACGTCTGCGCCTTAGCTTGTATAAATTATATTTAACTTAAAAAAGTGGGGCCGAATTGGCGAATCACCACAGAATGTTTATTAAATTTAATTTCGCTTCTAACCAATGCCCCATATCACAGGTCGTCGAACGAAGTTACTTAAAAAAGCGAATGAGACATTTTAAAATATTTTCCTCACTTCAGCATCTCGTGTATTGCTTTAAGACGTTTGTGGACGGCATTTCGATAGGTTCTGTGTTGTAATTCACAGCTGTTAAGGTTCATTTTTTGGCTGCCAGAGGCCGCAGCTATCAGGAAATTGTTGAAAGGCAGTGTCTCTTCTACTATAAAAATTCGTGATTTGTCGTCTATCAAAAATTGTTACGTT